AATACTTATACCCAATTTTTCCCCCTACTAATATTGAATCCCATGTGTCTATATTGTTTATTATCTCATGCAGTTCCCCGCAAGGTTTATTTTTCAGTGGCATGGAATTTGTATACGAGTTGCCCAAAATATGCATATGTAGCTGCAGAGGAATTGGGAAGGGATTTAACTTGTACAAAAGAGGAAATCTAGTTCAGAGAGATCCTTAAATTAACTCTGGCTTTTTTTCTACTCATTTCCTGCAGGAGTTTATGGCCCAATGACATTTTTGGAAGCAGTTCTGATGATGAGGTCCAGACCCTACTGAATATTTACTTCCGGCACCAAACACTGGGGCAGTCTGGCACTTACGCTCTAGTGGGCTCCAATCAAAGCCTGACAGAAATCTGTACTAAACTGATGGAGCTGAACATAGAGATCCGGGACATGATCCGCAGGGCTCAAAGCTACCGAGTCATCAATACTTTTCTTCCAGACTCCAGTGTTTCCGGCACAAGTCTCTGACAAAAGTCTTGTGCCCCCCTTTTCATTCAAGCTGGGATTGCTTCCATGCTGGGGTGAGGTGGTTCAATGCCTTCTCAGCCTTAGAAAGACTTGGTCAAGTTGTAGTCAGTCTTGTTACCTTTACAACATTTTCCAAGAGGAGCTGGGCAGTGTTTTCAACGTGTAGCAATACTGCAAGGACAAAGGTAGCATAGAATCCTTTGTTTTGAGCTGCACAAACAAAATGCATTTCACTGGACAACCGCAGTTCACTACTGAAGAAGTGACTTCCATACATACCAAAGACTACTACACTGAACAAGACTTCCTTTCTAGAAATTTATTTTTAGGTTGGCAAAAGTGCAATCTTTCCTTCACTTGAGGATGGTTTTGTTTTTTAATCTTGTACATTTTTTTTCCTTTTGACCAAGTTTAAAAAATGGGCAGAATGAAGCTAGCGACAGGACACTGCGAGACTGTCTTTTTGAAAGCTGAGAGCCTGTGTGTATGAAAGAGGTTGTAAAGGACTACAGTTTTAAATGTACACTGTAACTTAAATATGATTACTGTATCTTTTGGGGGAAAACCAAGCTGCTATGAAGTACATTTCCTGATGTTGCTAGGCTACTGTCTTGGAAGGTACTAGATCCTGTTGTAAAAGGTCTGTTATTAAGGCCAAAGTACCTATGAATGGACAAGGAAGATTTTTTTAAAAAAGATTTTGGCTGCTTTTTACTAGAGGGTTGCTTTTATGAATATATTTATATTACATAAGGATGGTTGGTCTGGTATACCTTGCTATTTTGTAGGAAAACATCACATTGCTGATTTTAATTCTTTTGACCTGCCCCGCATGGATATTTTAATTTAACATACATTGTTTTAACAGTTAAGAAATGGAAAGTGAATTTTGAGTTGTACTTAAGAATATTTTTTTTGGTAATATGTAAGTTTTTCTTGCACTTAACTGCTGTAATGTGTTAAATGGGTGCATGCAAATCTTTTTGCACATTTAAGACACTTTTATTGCAGCATAGTCTCACTTATTCACTCTGTAAATACACTTAAAGGTTTTTGTGAAGTACCTTTTGGTTGATATTTTGATCAGAATAGGATCACCTAACAAAAATATCAAGGTCATTATAATATATATACATATGCATATATACAAACATGCCTCTGTGTGTACTGATTAATATGGAATGAGAGTATGATACAGTACAAAGGCTATTGCTTTCAATTGGTTTTGAACTAACATGCAGCCTTCACAACACTCAAATAGCTGCTTTCTAAATAGCCATAAGGGAGACAAATGTAATCTCTCATTTGACCAGAAGCAGCTTTGAAAAAGAGGCTGTTTATTCTGAAGTTTGCTTCAAATGCATAGCCCTAGCTGAATGAAAAATGGTGTGCGTTTCTCCGCTCTTAAGGGGGTTAGCCCTTCAAACAAAATTGGAGTAAGGTACTCACATTTAAATTGTAAAGGGAAAGTGGAGATTGCAAGAATGAGTTCATACACTATTTTATGCAAACTTACAGAAGAAGTACACTTAATCATTATGACTAAACAAAGATGCTGGAAGTGTACCCTTTGAGGTGAAAATGTAATTCTTGCTCCTCAAGCAGCTCTGGAAAATAAGTGCCCACACTGTCCTAGTTTTAACTCTACCTGGAAAGTGATCCAGCTATAGTTCTGAGTGCATGAGAAAGTAAAGCAGGGTTTTACACATTTCCCCATTAAGTGCTTGCAACTTACCGTATTTTTCGCCCTATAGGACACACTGACCCATAGGACGCACCTAGTTTTTTGGGGGGGAAATAAAGGGGGGGGAAACCCCAGCTGCGGGAACTCCTGCAGGCTCCCCAGGCTTATGGATAGCTTCCCGAAGAGCAGGGCGCTCTGCTTCAGTGCGCCCCGCGCTCCGGGCAAGCAGGCTGCTATCCGCAGCCTAGGAAGCCCTGCGGGAACTTTCGCAGGGCTCCCTAGGCTGCAGATAGCTTCCTGAAGCCTGGAGAGAGAGTGGGGTCGGTGCGCACCGACCCCTCTCGCTCTCCAAGCTTCAGCGAAAGCCTGCATTCGCCCCATAGGACGCACACACATTTCCCCTTCATTTTTGGAGGGGGGAAAGTGCGTCCTATAGGGCGAGAAATACGGTAGATTTTATATGCTCTATGTTGCTGCTCCAATACTGTTGAAACGAAGGGTAGTTTTATGCTTAGCAAACAATAGCATACCTCCATAATCCTTAAGTATGGAGAATATTTCTGCCTTTTGCTGGATTTCACTGGTTCTTAGTGGTATCCTGTCCTGCCATCTGTGACAAGCCTGTTCTCAACTTTGTGCCTGCCTGTTGCAGTCCTCTTAAATAGCAAGGAAGACGTGCTTTCTTACATGGCATGACTTGAATGCTGTCTCTACAAAGACACCCTTGCCACCATTCTGTTTGGAAGAATGCTCTGTAAATAAGAAAATGCTTGTGAATGTCAGAAAACCAAGCTATTTGAGACACTAGAACTAAAGCTGATTACCTTCTCAAACTGGCCTAATCTCCCCTACTGATAGGTATCTTGTCTTACACCTTGCTCACTGTCCTAGACCAAATTTATACAGAGAATGTGTGTGTGTGTGTGTGTGTGTGTGTGTGTATCTATCTCAGATTGTACAGCTATCTATACTAATGTCAAGCTATGCTGCTTCTAATAGTGCCACTACAGACCAACCCATATTTCCTTTTTAACAGTTGCTACCAGTGCTATTTACTTATTCTTGGCACTCTGAGCACACTGGATGCAAGACAGCTGCATTTATTATCATATTAGTTTACAAAGTTGGTTTCTTTGTAAAATGAAACAAGGCAGGGGAAATTCATCTTCATAAGTTACTCCAGGAAAGAAACTCAACTGCTTTCATATAACATACAAGAACAGAGACACTCCAAGTCATGATCAATGTATGACTTTTAAATCTAACACTTATGCTGAGGTATCTGTTCAGTTAGAGAAAAAAGAAAAAGCAGGCCATCTGCCCAGATCAGAATAACTCTGTTTATTCCATTTAATAAATATTTTCCACTGCAGAGATTGTACCAGAGGACAATATATGAAATAGTTTATAGTCTTCAGTGGTTAAGAATATTTTTATTAGTTTTAGAAAGGTATGCAAAGAGACAGCTCACCTTGTTATTAGTAATTTGTCATTACAGTATTCTTAAGTGTAAATGAAACAGCATCAAATGGGATAACCTGGCCCCTTGTAGAAATTTTAGGTTTGCTACATAGAAATTCCTCAATTTCCCATCCTTCAATATAGCTCTCATGTACTATAGCTAGTCTTCCATATCGGCGACTATTACAATTGAAGTGGAATTCAAATTCATTACAAGTTACCCCAATAAACAACAAATATTTACTAGCCTTACAAAAATCTTTACTCCAGTATCCAATGCCGGGTCAGAAACCTAAGGTCAAAGCCATGTTATGAAACAAGTAACAAAGTGCATGGTGCCATGTGCAAGAACAGCACAAATTAGATAATGTATTTGAAGCTGTAAGTATTGTCACAAGAGAGTCTTTTGCCTTTGCAGCGGCCACACAGCTCTTGACGGTGAGGCCTCTTGAGGTCAATGTGCCTTTTCTTCTGGGGGCAGGAGCAACGAGTCTTTGCACAGATCTTTGGATAACATATTTAAATTAGTGAACAGATCAAACTTCTCCCAAAGTTGGCTTCCTGCTACCGATGTATTTTACAGTATACTAGTTCCATAATTCTATTGTTATTTCTCTAATTCAACACTGTGTCCACTGTGCCACCTTGGCTCAGGGCTCCTGCCATAGTTGCATGTTCTACTTCAGCGGTTCTCAACCTGTGGGTCCCCAGAAGTTGTTGGACTACAACTCCCATCATCCCTGAGCTCTAGCCTTGCTAGCTAGGGGTGATGGGAGTTGTTGTAGTACAACAACATTTGGGGACCCGCAGGTTGAGAAAGGTTGTTCTACTTGTTTTGAAAGCAGCTCAAAAGTGGCCTGTTCCTATGAATGAGAAACCTGCAGCTCCAGGGCCTAATTTCAAGGAGGGTGGGGCGAAATAAGTTCACCACCCCACATTAAAAAATGTGTGGAAAGCCATTGTCTTTAGTGTAGAGGGTAGCTGTGACCAATGCAAACATGTAGCTCCCAGAGGATTACTTCCCAAGAGAACTTTGCCTGTTGACAGAAAAGTTTGCCTTCTCCTGCTATACAGTTTTCTATTCGCCTAATAAAGGGCCATAGGTTTTATGCTGGCCAAAATATTCCTGCATTGCAGGGGTTGGGCTAGATGATCCTCGTGGTTCTTTCCAACTCGTATGACTGATACCAAGCCTCCTAGAAATTACCCCCACAGCTAGTCTTGGTGCTAACAGTAAAGGAAGCTAAACGTGACTTCTCCATATATATTTTTTCTATTCCCTGAACACTGCCGTTTAAAGTAGACAAGTATTTCTCACTGTTTAGCACATCTTAGGAAACGTGTTACTTACACGGCACTGAATTGCTTCCACTTTATAAGGATTAAAGCTCTTCTGACATTTGCGACAAAGCTGTTTAAAGTAAACCTATGCAAAGGAAGGTGATTGCCATTAGAAGAGAGCCTTCTCAGATCAAACGTCTAGATTTGTCAATTCTTTTAAAAGTTAACACATCCAGAGCAAAATTAGGTTTACAGGCAGTTAGGTTTCATTGATTCACAACACTATATTAAAATTTTAGGATTATCTTGCATCCTTGACGGGCTTTGTCAGGACACGGGGGTGGCATTCTATTTAAGCCAATATAAAATTTTCTTCCAAACATAGTTGCTTCAGGGAGATTCACAGGTAGGGAGGACAGGGTTAACCCCCTCCCTGATTGCAGCCCCCCAAATTCTCCTCCAGCCATTGCAATTAGGCTTGAAAAAAGTATGGGCTCCAATGGAAGGCTTCTTTCAGGCCTAATTTCAACAGGACGGACAGAAGTCTCAGGTCATTAGGAAGACCTTTGCAGCTGCATGTTAACCCACAGGTTCTATGTTAACAAAAACATCTCTCACTCAGGCATCATAAGTGAGCTATCTTTTAGCTAACAGTAACAGCTTCCATTCAGTGTCTCCAAATATTCCACTGAAAAGGTTCCAGTACTAGCATTTTGTCAGGCATTAATGAACAAGAAACCTGATTAACAGAGACTGGTAATAGTTCAAGAGAGTTGTGGGTAGTATGACAATAGCATCAGTATTTCCTTCCTATCTTCTGATCAAGAAGATGAAAGTTGTGGTATCATAAATAAAATCTAGCATGAGCATTCTGCTAGTCTACAAAAGCTTATGCTACAATAAATCAGTCAGCTGCAGCAGGAACAAGCTTTTGGCACCTTAAAGACAAACACAGCTATTTCTGGAAAATGTTCAAAAACCCTTTGCAGGTTTGTGAAGCACTTCAATTCATAAACTATTCTCCACTTTCTGGTAAGGTACAGCAACCCTTTTGTTTGTACCCCAAAGCAAACCCTCTAGAAGCAAATTTTGTCTTTTCATCTAAATACCTTATTGGTTCCAGAAATGCACCATACGTAAGCACTTTCCCATCTGGTCTTGCAGTCGTTGCAATGGAAATAGCCATACTTCTGTTCTAGGAACTGTAATAGAAAATAGCTGATTAGCAGCATAATAAATTAATGTGTACCACATTTAGAAATCTTTATAGTATTAAGCCAACTCCTACTATTTGCAGGCTTATTGTTTAAGGCAGGCAATGGAAAATGCAAGATATGTTATTGTTAATGCTTACTCTACATCTAGTCAAATTGAAGCAGTTTTAAGACAAAATGTATCCAACAGCAGTCTTTGTCAATAAACTATAGGAATTATATGGATTGTGGCCAATATGAATGTGGCTTTGAAAACTAGCAGTGGGAGCGCACGAGATATGAAGTGATACTGTAAACATACCTTTTTGTGTCATTTAGCTCATACTTCATGGACATATGCAAGAAGGGTATTACAAAGATTTCTGCAGAGTAATTTTTATTCAAACACCAAAAAACTTAATCCTCATGCAAGAACAAGACTAAAGATACCCACTTCACTTTGTCACCTTATACCACCCCCACAATGCTGACAGATTAGTCTAGCAGAAATCTTATGGCATAGCCCAAAAATTATAGTCTTAAATCCACTGCACGCAGGTTGCAATCTTATGTACATTTACTCAGAAGCCAGGTCTTTTTGAGTGTAGTGGTCTTCCACTGCAAAAATAAAAAAATCATGCAGGATGTGGCTGTGAAAAACCTCCTTTCTCACAGCCTTAAATGTTCCTCACATGAATGCAAAATCATTCCTTTTCCATATTGGGTTACATGCCAAATTAACCTCAAAGGTTACAGTAAATAAGAGTTGTCGCTAGGTTCTCAACCACCCTCATTCCTCTTTTGCTTACTACAACAGTTATAAAACCATTATGTGGCCCTCCAGATGTTGACTGCAACTCCCATTAATATTTGCCATGATGGGAGCGTCAAGCCCAGCATCCCAAGGGCCACAGGTCCCTTGCACACAAAGGAGTCACACTTAACAAGACAGTGACTTTTCACAGACCATACCTAAATGTACTTAGTTTCTCCAAGTTAAATGGAGCTTGCTTCCCTATAGGCATGCTTAGAAGTTGGGAAGAACTACTATAAACAAGTCTGGCTTTCTCAACTCGATTTAAACTTGCCCAGGCTTGTATTGAAGTGTTGGCATCCCTCACCAAAAACGCTTAAGCTTCTAAAAAGTTAAGTGCATGGCAGATTAGCAATCCAAAGGGTGCAGACTCAGCCCTCAATATCTGCAGTTAAGAAGGAGAATAGGCGCAGTGTTTCCCAGCCTTGGGTCTCCCAACTGTTTTAAAACTACAATTCCCATCATCCCTGACCACTGGTTTTGCTAGCTAGGGAAGATGGGAGTTGTAGTTTTAAAACAGCTAGAGACCCAGGGTTTGGAAACACTAGTGTATACTTAGCAACTTCATATACCAGGAAAGGTTTCCCAGAACTCAACATTCAGTGAGTCTTGGTCCTGCTTTCAGCTAAGGATGCTAAAAAGGAAATGGGGGAGCTCCCTATTTTGGTTATTAAACCCACTTGTTTACTGAAACCCGTTAGAACTGCCCGTCGTCCATCTGCTAAACACGAAATATAACCCCGAGGTGGATCCCACAGTGGACTGGGAGGAACAGTAGCTGGAGAGGGGCCTGACTTGAAACGTCTCGAGTAGAAGGAGGCGCCTCAGTGAGAATTTCAGGAGTCCGAGGAGGCGGCCTTCGCGCCTTTTTTCGCGCCTCCACAGCGCCCCTAGCGAATGAACTGAGGAGACCGAGAGGCCCACTCACCTGGAAAGCAGCTCTCTTGCCCTCAGTGGCAGTGGAGGCCGCGGCGGCGTCAGCGGCGCCTTTCTGGGCCGCGTCGCCTTCCCCGTCCCGCAGCTGCTGGGCGGGTTCTTCTCCTTCCCCGCTGCCTGGAAGCTTCCCCTTCGCCTCAGCCTGGGCGCCCTTCTCCGGCTCCAGGGGCTCCTTCCCCTCGGGCTCTTCGGCTTGCTGCTGGGATGGCGGCCCTCCTTCTCGCCCCGTGGGCGGCTTCTTCTCCGCCGCCTCCTCCTCGGCGCAAGGGGAGAGTTGGCGGCCCTGCTGCGGCGGAGGCTCCCGCCCGGGGAGGCTCTGGAGCTGGCGGGACCCGAGCGAGCACTGCACGGCGGCGTCCACCCGCGGGTTGACCTGGGTGCCCACCTCCTTGGTGCTGGCTTTGCGGAGCCTCGGGGCGAGGCCGGGGCTGACTTGAGAGAGCAGCGCCTTCAGCTGGGCCCGCTTGTAGCTGTCTAAATAATCCGGCGAGGCCGGCGGCGGCGGCAAGGGGGGCAGCGGGGCCGAGGAAGGGGCAGACAGGGGGCCCCGGTAAGGGCTCGGGATGCTGCTCCTGCTGCTCTTGCTCTGCTTCCAGCCAGGCTGCTTTTGCTTAGATGGCGGCCTGGGGGCCACGTTGTGGCTGTGGCTGAAGGCGTTCCCATAACTTTGGTAGATGCTATAGGACGGGTAGACAAAGCGCTCCATAGCCTAGAGGGACAGGTAACTTTGCTCGCCTTTTCCTCGTGGCTTTTATCCCTCGAGGGGAAGGGCGTCTTAATTGGTGCTCGTTACTGCTGGCCTGCGGTAATAATCGCCCCTCCATTGATTATTACCAACTGCAAACTCTTGACCTCCTTCCCATGGCTAGGGGAGGATGTTGGCAGGACTTAGGCCAAAGTAGTGAATATCCAAAGCAAACTCCTAAGCTTGCAAAGGTTAAACACAAGCATACCAGCGTCCCTGTGCAAACTAAACCCCATTCCTGCTGGATCGAGCCCATTAAAAAGTCGGCCAGACTGATTAACTGGGTCTCAGACTGTGGTATATCCATTGAAACCAATGGGTGCTCCCTTGTGGAGACTTAAAGGCACTTGCCTAAATATCGGTTTTACGCTAAAGCAATCCATTTGGCTTCAGCTGCTTGATACAAGCTTATGCCTGCTCTGCAGAACTGTGCTACCTTGAGTAGGAAGCAGTTGTTGTTGTTTAGTCGTTTAGTCGTGTCCGACTCTTCGTGACCCCATGGACCAGAGCACGCCAGGCACCTCTGTCCTCCACTACTTCCCGCAGTTTGGTCAAACTCATGCTGGTAACCTCGAAAACACTATCCAACCATCTCGTCCTCTGTCGCCCCCTTCTCCTTGTGCCCTCCATCTTTCCCAGCATCAGTGTCTTCTCCAGGGAGTCTTCTCTTCTCATGAGGTGGCCAAAGTACTGGAGCCTCAGCTTCACGATCTGTCCTTCCAGTGAGCACTCAGGGCTGATTTCCTTAAGAATGGATGCGTTTGATCTTCTTGCAGTCCATGGGACTCTCAAGAGTCTTCTCCAGCACCATAATTCAAAAGCATCAATTCTTCGGTGATCAGCCTTCTTGATGGTCCAGCTCTCACTTCCATACATCACTACTGGGAAAACCATGGCTTTAACTATACGGACCTTTGTTGGCAAAGGAAGCAGTTAGCTAGTTTAAAATAGGCTCTTGCATATGGAGGGCAAGGTCACAACTCCCCGCCCCCATCTGCCTCACATAGATAATAGGTTAACATCCAAATACAGTTTGTATAAAATCCAGTGCATACAAAATCCCAATTGTCTTGTTGATTCCCAGATAATAAGTGTGATATAAACACTGTTCAGATATACATAAGTTATAGTACTGTACAACTCAATAGTAAGTCTCATTGAGTTCAGTTGGGCTTATTCCCATGTAAATAGGTATGACAATATCGTCTGAGATATAATGCACATTTGCTCTGTTCAAACATTGTCACAGATAGATGCCCAACAGAACAGGAGCCTGTGGGCAGGGAGACAAAACCCCACTTCCATATAGAGAGTAGATGTTTGGGGACAACTGGCAAAATGAAAGCAAACATATTCACTTAGCAGACTTAGGAGAGACAATGTTTCCATCCTTGTAGGGATGTACCAGTCAGGGCTGAACTGCCAAAGAGGATGTTTTAAACCCACCATTAGTTTGCATGTAAATATATAACCTTTCCCAACCACTGGAAGAAAACAGAAACTTTGTTCCACAACAGGGTTACTTTTAAGTAAGTCCAATTTACAATGGAACTTACATTAAAGTAAGTGTGCTCTGACAGTCTTCTTTGCAGATTTTGAATCAGTTCATACAATGCATACCAACATTGAGGCTGAGCCAGTCTGGGTCATCTCACATTTCTCAGCTCCAGATGTCTCACAGCTGAATGTAGCAGCTGGTCACCCCAATATCCATGTTGTATGAGAATCCAGGTTTTAATTCAGGGTGTGTTTCCTTTTCGAAAGGAGGCACACAGAGACTGGTGTTTTTATGATATATGGTTTGTACTTCTTGCACAAAGCCTTTCTCTTTTGGTTTTCCTAATGGCTCATTACCTTCCTTTTGTCTTCCAAATGGTCCATAGGCGATTTCCTAGTCAGGGAACTGACTTGGCTTGTATATTTGTCTTGCTTAACTTCTAACCTCTACTGGACTCAGGAATTAGGGATGTCTAGCACCCATAAACTCATACCTACAATTACTGCCTCAGAGGGGCATTGAGCATATCTTTCGTCAAACCTTACACCTATCTGTCCTGTAGCTCACCCACACTTTACTGGGCAGTTACAGTGCTGAATATTTTGATTCATTGTATTGGATAAACATTCCCATTACGATACCTGTAAATTAATAAATAAATCTGCCAAGATATGCTGTTGCCACCATCTAAAGATGCTATTTTTATGCACTGATGTTTTGCAAAATTCTTGGAATGTGGGTGTATGTGGACACATTTGTTGAGGAGGCTTGCTAATCATTTATCTTTTTTAAAAAAATCTGATTATTGTGTTGCTTTTCCTTCAAAATTTCATGTTTTTGTGTTTAGAAGTAACATTGAGGCAACAAAGAGATCAGTTCTGGTTTACCTGTACTTTCTAAACTGTTTTTGGGGTTCAGGTTTAGTTAACTCCTTAGCTGATTTAGGAGTAAATCCTATTGCACTTAGTGGAAGTTACTTTCAAGTAAACACAGAAAGGACTGAGCCGCACAACTAAGGAGATGTGAAGCTTCCATGAGTTCATGAGATTACGGTAGCTACACTGAAATCAAAGGGAGTTATTTCCAAATAAATGGATTATGGATTAAAATTCAAGTTGTGTATCACAGATGAAATTCCTGGAAAATCTTTTTCTTCCATTTACTATGGCCATCTGTTCTAACATGTTAAAAATTACTGGTAAATGCTGATACTTGCTGAGCGTTTGATATTTACAATAAACAGAGTCCCCCCCCAAAAAAACTTCAATAATAAGATTTGGATCCCATTGTTTTAAAAAATGGATACATTGCAGGAATGACCGCTTATTATAGCTTCCTGTTTTTTTTAAAGTGCAACACGTGGTAACCTGTTCTTATGAACGCCTCTTCTCCCCATGTGATAGAACAATAAATGGGAAAGCTGTAGCCAGACTTCAAGCTTTATTTAGGGCTGGAGGGGAGGGAGTGTGTTAATAACTCTAGAGAAAAAGTAAGTGGTCCTATCTCCTTGCCTCTGAAGATGAAGAATGCATTGCCTGAATGGTTAGAACTTAAACGCTGGCGGACCTTGTGGCTGTGGGTGTGCATTGCCGCCTGCTCACAAGTAAAAAACCCCAGAAATAATTCTTCGGTGATCAATCGTATCCAGCATCGCCTGAGCTCCGCCAGTGCAGCTTTCTCCCGTTTGAAGCACAGAGTGTTTGAGGACCGGGACATTCGAAGGGAGATTTATTTACAGCTATCAACCTTACTGTATGTTTGTGAAACATGGACCACTTATAAACTCCTCGAAAGATTCCATCAACGCTGTTTCCAGAAATTATAAGAGGGAATTGAAAGAAGTTATTAGTGGTTGGGTGCAAATTTTTTTAGCTGCTCACTGAGCGTCGTAAAAGACATTGTAATTAGCTGTACAATACAAGCTCTGAAAGGGCTTCATGCTGCAAACATGAACTGGTAGTTTTAGCCCCGTGTATTAAAAGAAAAACCCATTCTTTTGAGCAAGGCAGCCCTCAACCCTCGCAGAACTACATTCCCCATGATTCTTGAGGGCGGCGGAGACGAACCACTCCAATCCACCCACTTTCCAGACCGCTTAAACCCCCCCCAAACAGGAAGTGGTACGGCCGCTTCCCTCGCAGGGCACCACCTCCTCTCGCCTGTGGCGCTGCAGTTCAGGAAGGAACGTCCGCAGGGCGACAGGACTGAACCAACTGGGAGGAGGAGGAGGAGCAAACGCGCGCCATTTCCACATCTGCGCTTGCGTCGCTGAGACTTGGCGGCAGATTTCGTATTTCGAGGAAGTGGCGCTGCTGCTGCTGAGGTGCAGCTATGGAGACCGGTCAGTCTTTCGACTCCCTTCTGGGGTGACGTGGCTCGCGGCAGTTTATCTCCTTTCCGTGGCGAATATGCGCTTTCTGTGCTCGTCTTTCCGCCGGCTGCCTGCCCCTGAGGCGGTTGTCGCCCTCCTTGCTCTCCTCCTTCCACCCCCTGAAAAAAGCCCTTAGACAAGCGGGGACGAAGTCTGAGGAAGGGCGACGTTTGAGGTCCATTGAAGGGCCACCTTTTCATATATGGTTGCTGTATATTCGCTCCCAAGGGATTTGGACGCTTGTGGGGTTTTGTGCATCGGGTGCCATGTACTTTGGGCAGACTTGGGTAGGCAGCAAAATGTCTGGGGCTGGACCTGGGTCGAGGACATGGGCGTGGCTAAGGGGGGGCAGGAAGGGCAATTGCACCCCCCCCTTAGAGCCACCAAAATTATTGACGTACTCAATTGAGGGTCTGCTGCCCCCCCCCGCAGATGCCTGCCCCCCTAACGAAAGCTCGCTCATCATAATGTCCTCCTTTAGGGGGGTGTTTTAACGCGGGATCTCCCTCCCAAAATAAGCTCAAGAACTTTAGGTGGCTGTCTCCTTTAAAAAGCCCATGGTCCAGGGGGATTTACTTAAGAAAGTAGGAACGGGCATTGTACTGACTATTGATACATCCAGCTCAGTGTTGTTCACACTGACTGGCAGCAGCTCTCCAGGGGGACATTTCCAGTCCTACCTGCAAATGCCAGGGACAGAACCCTCTGCATACGAAACAGTTGTTCTGCCACTGCATCACCACTGGGAGGGAGGGTCAAAGACAGTCGCTCTTGGGCAGTTTGTTTTTGGCTGCACCCACTCATGCAATTTGGTTGTTAAGTACAATCCTAAACATGCTTACTCAGAAGTTCTACTGAACTAATTGAGGCACATGTTCTCGAAGCTACCAGCATGAGTTTGACCAAACTGCGGGAGGCAGTGGAAGACAGGAGTTCCTGGCGTGCTCTGGTCCATGGGGTCACAAAGAGTCGGACACGACTAAATGACTAAACAAAAATTCTTACCGTATTTTTTGCCCTATAGGACGCACCGGCCCATAGGACACACCTAGATTGGGGGGGGGGGAAATAAAGGGGAAAAATTATTCCCCCCCAGGCCCGAGCTTCCCCCGACCCCAGCCCCCAGAAC